TTCTTCCTCTTCTGTCTTTGTAATGACCGTTTACACTCTTCCTGAATGATATCTTTGACATCCTCCCACAACTCATCTGGTCACCCTTTTTATAGGGTTTTGGTTTTTGTTTTGGTGTGTTTTTTTTTTGTCTTCTGTTATCTAATGAACTGTTTCATTAAATCATGAACTTTCTCTCTGCCTGTAGCACCATTTCTGATTTGATGGCTCAGCTCCTCTGAGTAGTTGGGGAGCCATGCTTGTTAAAAAAATTAGTTCTAGTTGAAACTTTGATCGCTTCCTTATTGTACTGTTCAAAGTGAAGTCCATTTACCAGCAGCTCAGTGTCACCTGAACTTAGTAGAAATATAGCATTTAGGGCCTTGCAGCTTTTGAATCAGTCTAAATACCCTCACCTCCTCTCCTCCCTTTTTAAATGGTCACTTACTATATATATTATACTGAGTGAACTAACTCAGTCTCATACGGACAAATACTGCATAAGACCATTATTGTAAAAATAGAAGAATAACTAGTAAAACATGAATGGATATCTAAGGGGGGAAGGGATGAGAGCAGAAGGGTGAGGATGAATGGGGGGAAATCACAGGATCACACAATTCAGTGGGGAGGGACGAGGTAAAGGAAATGGGAAAGATCCGTCGGGGACCTGAAAAGACGGGGTAATGGTAGGCATAGTCCAATGGTGATTAATTTTCTAAAACACAATTTAGGGGAATGCTTATATGAAACATAATATCAGTGAAGGAAAGTGTGGGCGGGAAACTGCATTAAAAATATAACTTAAAAAATAGAACTTATTTTCTATGTAAAAAATTTGAAATGTGAATAAGATTAACATTTAAAAAATAAATACATGTTGAAACTACACACAGCATATACAAATTTCATAGTTTATCCATGTATAATTCAGTGACATTGATTACATTCTTCAAATTGTGCAGAGTCTCACACCCTCCATTTTCATTAACATAAGCTCACAGCCACACTGTCTAACCTTTGGTGTCACTGTTGCCAGTTTAATCCCAAATAGATAGTTCCATCAAGGGGCAGGATGCTCAAGACAGATATTCTTTACTAGTTATCTATTTATGTTGTCTGATTTTATGAGAGCTCTAGGGGATATTTTTGGTTGAACAAGATCCACAGCTGGTTTGTGTGCACATTAGCATTTTCTAAGTCCTATTTTAGCATCTTAGCTTTGTGACAGTTAATTTTTCTATCTAGAGAGCTCTTTCACTTACAAATTGTGTCTTGTGTTCTCAGCTCAACTCCCTGATGTCAAGTCAGAACTGACTCATAACTCACCCTCCAGCAGGTTTTCAGAGGTTATAAATTGCATGGGTTCTCTGTGGAGAAGCTGCTGGATTCAAACTGCATGCCTCTGGGTTGACAGTGCAACTCCCTTGTTTTCTAGCTGGCCAAAGTATTTTTATATCCAGGGATATTGCTATAATTGTCTAAAAGTGTTTTAATGTTTGGTTTACTTTTCTTTATTATTTTGTGTGTGTGTACCATCAAATCGGATCTGACTGTTATGGGAGGAGATTACCCCTTCTTCTCCAGTAGAGCATCTGGTGGATTTAAACCTTGTACCTCTGGGATTGCAGTGCAGCTTCTTGCCACTAGGCCATCACATCTCCCTATGTTTTGATGTTTTATGATAAACAATTGATGATAATTTTCTTTTCTCTTCCCTAGAGCCCTGCTGGTGATCTTGAAGAGTCCCTAGCATGGAATCGATATCTATGATGGGAAGCCCGAAGAGCCTTGGTGAAACTTTTTTGCCTAATGGCATAAATGGCATCAAAGATGCACGGAAGGTCACCGTGGGTGTAATTGGAAGTGGTGATTTCGCCAAATCCCTGACCATTCGGCTTATCAGATGTGGCTATCACGTGGTCATAGGAAGTAGAAATCCTAAGTTTGCTTCTGAATTTTTCCCTCATGTGGTAGATGTCACTCATCATGAAGATGCTCTAACAAAAACAAATATAATCTTTGTTGCTATACACAGAGAGCATTACACCTCCCTGTGGGACTTGAGACATCTGCTTGTGGGTAAGATCCTGATTGACGTGAGCAATAACTTGAGGGTCAACCAATACCCAGAATCCAATGCTGAATACTTGGCGTCATTATTCCCAGATTCCTTGGTTGTCAAAGGATTTAATGTTATTTCTGCTTGGACACTTCAGTTAGGACCTAAAGATGCCAGCCGACAGGTATGTGTTTTCAAAATGTTAATCTTATTTAGCCAGTATTTTGTCAGTAGCTAAACAGTGATCAGACATTTGATAACCGAATAATGATAATCATTTTGAAACTTGTGCATGAGAACCTGAAGACTAATGTTCTAACTTTGTGAGGGTAGATTTCTGTTCTCGAAATAATATGGAAAGTGTATAAAACTTGTCTTAACTAATTAAAGAAAAGGCAAGGTTGGCAATGAACAGTGTGACATAGTACATTGAGTCCCTCTTTGCTAACTCAAAAATAGCAACTGCAAACATTTTTCCTTCTCTCTTCCCCTCCCTCTCTTCTTTTACCTGTTTAGTAACACAATATTCTATCTCTGTGTGAAATAGTTTAATATCCTCATGAGTGCTATTATATATACTTTTTATTTTACTTAAGTATTTATAGAGTTTTATCTAAGTGTAGGTTTTTCTGTGGGAAGTTAGACATGGCCTGGATTTTTTTAGGTTGGTCTCCGTGAATTCTGTGGATAATGCTTTATTTAGTTCAACTGGAGGGTAAGTAAATGGGGAGTCTTTTGAGTCAGTTATTGTTATGTGCCAGGAAGTCTAGTACAACTCATGGTGACCCTGTGAACAGCAGACCCGAATTCTGTCCTACCCTGTGCCATCCTCATCATCTCTGATACACTTGAGCTCATTGCTGCCGTCACTGTATCAATCCACCTCATTGTGGATCTTTCTTCTCTCACTGACTTTTTCAAGCGTGATATCCCTTTTCAAGGAATAGGCTCTTCTAGGAACATGTCCAGAGTATATGCAAGATGAAACTTTGCCATCCTTACCTCCCGGGAGCACTCTGGCTTCATCTTCTCCAAGACATATCTGTTTGTTCTTTTGGCAGTACTATGGGATATTCACCACACTCAAAGGCATCAATTCTTCTTCTGTCATCCTTATTCATTGTCCAGCTCTCAGAAGCACAGCAAGTGACTGAAAAGTTCAGGCATACTTTAGTCTTCAAACTGATATCTGATATCATTACTTTTCATATTTTGGAGAGGTCCCTGACAGTGGATTTGTCCAAATCAATACATATCCTGATCTCCTGACTGCTGATACCAAGGGTACTGATTGTGGATCCAACTCAGTGGATTTCTAAGACTGTAAATGACACGAGGGGAGATGCCCATCTTCTACCCTTAGAAACACAGGTGGATTTGAACTGCCAGAGAGAGAGGTGCCGGCTCTGTGTTAGCAGCACAACTCCCTGTGGTCCACCTTTGGTTGTTGTTGTTATTGGCCTTCAAGTTGCCTGCGACTCATAGCGACCCTATGTACAATAGCTCTGAACCCTGCCCTTTCCTGAGCTGGTCTCACTGACTCTGACACACCTATCCCCATTGCCCTAGTCACTGTATCAATCTATTTCATCCAGGGTCTTCCTCTCCTGCACCATCTCTCCACCCTTCCAAGCATGATGTCCTTCTTCAGAGATTGGTCCCTCCTTGCCACATGTCCAAAGTATGTGAGACAGAGCTTCAAAATCCTAGCCTTCAAGGAGAAACTTGGTTTCACCCTCTCCAACATGACAGACCTATTTGTTTTCTTGGTGGTTCAAGACTCTTGAGTAAATATTGATAGTTTTAGAGGGGCTTCAGGCCTTTTGTTCATAGGGTCACTATGAATCATGCTCAACTTGAAAGCAATTAATAACAACAACATGGACACTTAACAGGGAGATCTGGTGGCCTGGTGGCAAGAAGCAGGACTGCAATCCCAAAGCACGTGGTTTGAGGCCACCAGCTGCTCCATGGGAGAAGGATGGGCAGTCTCCTCTTGTGCAAGTAACTGCCTCTGAAAACCCACTGGAGGGTCAGCTATGGGTTGGTTCCTACTCAATGGCACACAACAACAACAACAACCTGGACACTTAATGTTTTCTGTAAATGAATAAGAAAAATATGTTCTACTCTTGTCACACTATCATAAATGAAAGTCTTTGTCTTTATTACTTTAGTTTGAAGGAACCTTCATTTACAAATCTCATGAATTGTTATGTAGTATATGTCCTTTGAGTCGCCTGTGACTCTAGAACACTTAACAACAACAACAATAACATATGTCCTTTGGATAGTGGTGGCTCTACTCACAGCTAAAATAAACAATCCAAAGAGCTCCATGCTGCCGCCATCAGGTGAAAGTTTAGGCACGCAGATACTCTGGTGCTGCCTATTTTAGTGCTCTTCCACAAACACCAAGGGTATATGTAACCATTGTTTTTACCAAACATATCTAGAAACTTTATAGCACTATTTTTCTAGCCCTAAGTGAGATGAGGGGCTATGTATAGAAAGCTGGAGGGTCAGTGAAAGAGAAGAAAACCCTTCATGAGCTGGATTGACTCAGTGACTGCCGCAGTAGTCTCTAGTATGTCATAGATGATGAGGATGGCATAGGATACGACAGGATCCAGTTCTGTTCATAGGGTCGCTATGAGTCATACTTGACTTGATGGCAACTAACAATAAGTTAACTTACACATTAGTAATAATACTTCACTCTAGCAATGAACTTGGAGTTCAACAAATACATGTTGAAATCTCAACAATTTAGCTGAGAGACGTGGGCAGGTTGAAAGCCCAGCCTGACCCTCATCCATCATATTTTTAAAGTTCCTTTGGAAGTATTATTTTAGTTAGAAAGTGACAGTTGTTTTACAGTTAAGTTTTGGGGGGTTTTCTTGGGAGGGGGTTGATTTTTGTTTGGTTTGGGTTTGTATGTGTGTGTGTGTGTTTAAATTGAATCTGACTGGTACAGGAGGAGATTGTTCCTCCTTCTCCAGCAAAGCATCTGGTGGATTCGAACCGCTCACCTCTGGGATTGCAGTGCAGTTTCTTACCACTAGGCCACCAGAGCTCACCTACTGCTAAGTTTAAAAAAAATCTGATCATACCATGCTCCCGTACCCCCGGATAATCAATTATATTGTCATTATTTAAAAATGAAGGCATTATATATACTGACCAATGAAACATTATAGCTAAGATTATTCATAGGCTTTCAGAAATACTTGCTGAATTACCTTCTAAATCCGAAGAGAAATTATAGAAATAGGACAGCATCCTGACATAATTTAGGGGTTGTAAATGCAAATGCCACCACCCAGAGTCTGTCTCTTGTTTTCTACCGTTAAGTGTTTGTAAAAGGCAATCCGTGGCCTTGGTAAAATAACCACAGTGTTGGAACCAAAGTAGCGTGAGGCATCCTCCTCCTTGCCCTGTTCCCTGAGTGAAACTTTGGAGAGAAGTGAGCAGAGGGTGAGGGTGAGTTGCCAGCTGCTCCCACACCACTTGAACCAGGACAAGATGGGAGACCTGCTCCCACTGCTGCTGCATGCATGGCCTCAGAAAGCACACCCCCTTGGCTTCTGCCTTGCTTCCTCTGAGGACTCCCCAATTAATCCCAGGCTCCAGCCAAGATTTCTTTGGATTTTTTTTTTTTTCATGTCACCACAGTTGACGAGGATTTTGTTGTTTATATGACACTATTTTAGCCTAAAACTTCAATACCTAGAAAAGCTTAAAAAAATGGAGGGTCAGCACAAGGAGATGTATAGACATGGTCACAGCAGAGCTTGTGAGGATGGCACAGGGCCTGCAAGGTTTCCGTCTGTTGTATGTGGGGTCACTCTGAGTGGCAGTTGACTTGACTGCACCTAACAACAACATTTTATCTTACTACTTAATAGGTTAATAAATTCATTAAGGCATTTGTTAGCTCCTTCAATGATTTGCGTCATTTGAACATCATCACAAGCGATTGCTCCCAGATTAGAGCCTGTAGGACTTGGTATGTTTATGAATGACGGCATTAATGATGAGTCTTTCTCTCCTCTACCCCCTGCAGGTTTACATATGCAGCAACAATATTCAAGCTCGACAACAAGTTATTGAACTTGCCCGTCAGTTGAATTTCGTTCCCGTTGATTTGGGATCATTGTCATCAGCAAGGGAGATAGAAAATTTACCCCTGCGATTATTTACTCTCTGGAGAGGGCCAGTGGTAGTAGCCATAAGCTTGGCAACATTTTTCTTCCTTTACACTTTTGTCAGAGATGTGATCCATCCATATGCAAGAAACCAGCAGAGTGACTTTTACAAGATTCCTATTGAGGTGGTGAATAAAACCTTGCCAGTTGTTGCCATTACTCTGCTGTCCCTGGTATACCTAGCAGGTCTCCTGGCAGCTGCTTATCAACTTCATTATGGCACCAAATACAGGCGATTTCCACCGTGGCTGGAGACCTGGCTCCAGTGCAGGAAACAGCTTGGCTTACTAAGCTTTTTCTTTGCTGCCGTCCATGTCGCCTACAGTCTCTGCTTACCAATGAGAAGGTCAGAGAGGTATTTGTTTCTCAACATGGCTTATCAGCAGGTATGGTGTGTGCTTGTTACTTAAATATAATTAGTATAGCATACCATTTAAATAGAACAAAATTTACGTATGTTTTGGCAATGTATATTGAAGGAGGAGGAAGAATTATTCTTAAACAATGCTTCTGCATAGGAATTGAGTGCCTAATTTAAAAATAAAACTCCTCCATCTTTTGCAGAATAAAAGCAAAGAATTACAGTAAGGGGTTTCATGTGACTTTTTTTACCTTCTTTAGGATTGTCATCATCTATTAAGTATTTCAAGTCTTTATAATTGGCCATGACCCATAAAGCAATAATGGCACTCTCTGTGAACATAAAAATAAGATTAGAGTCAGTAAAATATAAAGCAGAATGAGAAGTCAGGATGTTCTGAGGTGGGAATAGAATACACCTCTGCGAGTTATGTCTGCACAGTTCCATTTTTACTGAGATTTCTAAGAGTTTGAAAAAGGAGAAAATGTTACAAGGTACTTGTCAAAAAACAGAAAAGATACTAGTTCTTCAAACGAGGGAAAGCTTCCTTCACCTGCTTTCCAAGAAAATCTTGGGACTAACTTCATGGAAGACTCTTGTATATTATATAATTCCAGTTTTGCAAATGCAATGTAAGGAGACTTCACTAAACTGATTTTTCTACTAGCCCTCAGAGAAAATTAAAGGCATCATATTAAAACAATTGTAGAAAAGGATAGGAGTCCAAAGATAAGCACACACACAGATGTCATCAAGAAGATCACTTGTTTCATTAAGAAAGCTTCAGTTGTTAATGTGTTCTCGAGTTGGAACTGACTCCAAGTTGACCCTCAAGCATGGTTTCAGAGACACTAAATCACAAGGGAGGAGATGGCCCATCTTTCTCCCTGGGGAGCAGCTGGTGGATTTGAACATTACTTTGTGTTGGCAATGCAACTCTTTACCACTAGACCATAAGAACTCCCTAAAGCCTAAACACTTTAAGGAGAGAAGGGGGAAAAAAAATAATGGAATCACCGTCCTTTAAATGAATCTTTCTCTAAAAATGCCACTTCTCTATCTGCTCAAGAGATTCCCGATTCCCTCACCTCCTTCAGGCTGTTGCTTTTAAATTCCACTCCTCCCACTAGTGATCCTAGTCCCCATTGCTCTGCTGTCCTGTTTTCTTTTGTTTCCCATGTCTTCCTCCTGGAACAGCTTGCTCTTCCTTTACCACCTTCTAACACATTTATCACACATATTGTTATCTGCCTTCTGCAGTCAGAATGTAAGCTTCCTGAACAGAGAGTGTTGGTCTGTTTTGTTCACCCATCTATGTCCAGTCCTTACAATAGCAGTGCATGGCACATAGAAGACCCTTCACTAAGTATTTGTTCAATGAATGAGTGAGGGAATGTAGCTATTCATTGAATATTGAACATTGTATATATTCAGTGTCTATGTTCTCTGGGTATGCCACAGAAGCTTGTAATTAAACAGGAATCAAAGAAGATGAAATGATCCTTATTCCACAGAGGGAACCCTTTCAGGGTGTTAGCATGGTTACTTCAAAAAAATAATAACGACAAAACTAACTTAGTTTATTTAACTTTCAACTATATTTGGTTAACTAGAAATGGATAAAGTTAAGCTAATACTAAGTTACAGGAGCCTTTTTGTTGTTGATACTCATTTAATTCAAAGCATTAGCCCTTGGAGTTGAACTAGTGAGAAGTACTTTTGACAATGTTCATATGTAAATTAGTAAGTTAGAGGAATTCCTTAGCAGAATACCACAAACTGTGAGTAAACAAAGTCTGACTTACTATGTATATGCACTGTCAGTGTAAGAAAGTGTTGTAAGGAAGGATATTTGGTAAAGTACTGCAATACAAATGAGGCCACTGAGCCTTTGGAAAAGTATTTCAATGAAGCAGTTCAAACAAATATTTTAGCTCCACGGAGTTTTGTTCTCTGGGAACTCTGTTTCATGGGAGAAGATAGGGTAAAAAAAAAAAAAAAAAAGAGAGCGAGAGAGAGAGAAATGAATGCATAACTATTCCATATATGGGGGAAGAGAGATACTCTTAAGTAGGTTAGAGATTTCCTGCCTCGATTCTAAATTGAGCAGAGGCCAAAATGCACCTAGATGACTCCAGCAAATCTAAGCCTTCTAAGTCACACTGCCTTTAATTATCTTGTTGCCTTAGAGCCCAACATTCTACATCTCATGGTTTGGAGATTTCACAGTCAGCATATCCCATGATGTTTTTCAAATGTTCATGACTCTTGTCTCACGTGAACTCACACAAGAATGTATAGGCCATCTTATTGTTTTGCCCTCCTTTTCTCTTAACCCAAACAGTATCACCTAATAGTAGACTCTCTGTAATAAGCTATTGAATGCATACAACTTAAATATGTCCACATATGACTTGTTTCTTGCTAAATGCCAGTAGCTAATTTGGTATTGAATCAGCTAATGTTGGACAGGCAATTCACATGTGCTTTCTTGTCAGGTTCATGCAAATATTGAAAAGTCCTGGAATGAGGAGGAAGTTTGGAGAATTGAAATGTATATTTCCTTTGGAATAATGAGCCTTGGCTTACTATCCCTGCTGGCTATCACCTCCATCCCGTCAGTGAGCAATGCTTTAAACTGGAGAGAATTCAGCTTTATTCAGGTAGGTGGGGTTTTGTTTGTTCAGTGAGGAATTGAGTGAAAACTTCATTTGCATTTCAAATATGCTCCCAAATAAATGGGTTCTAAAAAATCCCCCCAAACAGCTCACTGCTGCAGAGTCAATTCCAACTCATGGCCACCCTCAGTGGAGTTTCCAAGACTGAATCATAATGAGAGGAGACTGCTGTATTGTCTTGTGGACAGTAAGGTTTGAACTGCCAACCTTTCCATTAGTAGCCCAACACTTAACCTACAATGCTACTTTGTAGTTAAATGCACCTTGTTCTTGCACCAGTTAGAACAGGGCCTATGGGAGCAACAGCCATAGCAGCCACAGTAGAGAACCAGAGATCTGAGACAGAGAGGACCTTGGGGTTGCTACTGTAGAACTAGGAGCCTTTGCCCAAGTTTGTTAGGCAGCTGAGGCAAGTGGTAGCAGTTGGAAGAGAAGAGCCGTAATTGGCTAAACTGTGAGCTTTTTAACACTGACCTGAAGCCACAAGGCCTAGTGTTTACCGACCTGCAAACACATTTTAGAATCTGTCCAGACTGCATGATTTCTATCTTGCTGTTAACCTGAATTATAGCCTTTGACTTCCCTGATAAGGATCTGTGTAGTCTGTGAGCTGTTGTATTGGATTTTGGCCCCAATAAGCAATGAGATTGGTGTTGCGATAAATAGAAAGATGTGGAAGTGTGGGGAACATGTGACTTCATGGGAACTGGTTCTGTGTTGTTGATATTGTTGATAGTTCCCCTTTGTGAAGTTGGTAAAGGTCTAATATGACCATCCCCACATGGTCCTTGCTTTTTAAGTAGTTAAAAAAAATTTCTAGATCCATCTTGAAATACAGTGTTGTAACAGGATAATGTCCATATATAAACAAAGAAGACCTGATAATACTATTATCATTCAAATATACACATCAACAACTAAAGCCAAAGAAAAGGAAATCGAAGATTTCTACCAACTTTTGCAGTCTAAAATTTACCGAATATGGAACCAGGATTCATTAATAATAATAATTGATGACTGGAATGCAAAAGTTGAGAACAAAGAAGGAAGACTAATAGTTGGAAACTACGGGCTTGGACAGAAATGAGGCTCAAGATAAAATAATAGAATTTCGTACAGTCAGTTACTCATTGCAAATATCTTTTGTAAAAACACACAAATAGAGACTATACACATGGACTTTATCTAGTGGACTACACAGAGATCAGGCTGATTGCGAAGCTCAATATCATCTGTGCAAAGCAGGCCAGGTGCTGACTCTGGAACAAACCATCAACTCCTCATGTGCAAGTTTAAACTGAAGCTAGTTATGTCATCAACTTGTTTGTAAAGTTTATTCTTGAGATAATGCCTAAGACTTCTAAATACATGTAAGGACTCTCCATGAAAATAAAAATGTAGACAGTGGTTATTTTCTTAAAAAAACAAAACAAACAAACAAACAAAAAAACCAAAACACAAAACTGAAGCCAAAGAAAATGAAAACAAATCCACAAGAGCCAAAATATGACCTTAAATCCATTCCACCTAAACTTAAAAACCCTCTCAAGAACAGATTGGAGGCATTGAGCCCTAATGAATGAAGAACAGATGAGCCGTGGAATTAAATCACTAAGGCTCCTTAAACAAGTGATGCTCTTTATTGAAAGAGGAAAGCTGACATCCTGGAGTAGAGCAAATTGTTCACTGTCATACAGTAACTGAAAGGTTGGTAGTTCAGACCCCCTACCCCACCCAGTGGCACAGAGGAAGAAAAGTCTGGCCATCAGGAAAGCCACAGAAAACCCCAAAAAGTGCAGTTCTACCTACAACCCATGAGGTCGTCATGAGTCAGAAATGACTCAGCCCCAAAGGGGCTTTATGCAGGTAGCATGGGCAAGACATACGACCACAGGCTGGCTTGAGAGCACGGTGCTTCAGGAAGTGAAAGACCATGCTCTGATGAAAGCTCTGATGGCACAGCCTCCTAGGGTAAAGAGGGCCAGTGGGGATGTTTGGAATGTATGGAATGCAGTGCGAATGGGGGAAAAACCCACAAAAAGGGGGTGGGGGGGAAGTGGAGAAGGGGTTGAGCTTAGATAAAATTTAATGAAGAATTGTATCTTTTGAGTCATCTTTACATGTCCAAGAAAAAAAAAATCTCAATTTGAATTCAAGGGGTAAAAAGGTTATTCTGAACATTTTAAATAAACACACACACACATATACACACATACAACAAGAAATAACAAACTAGATGACTAGATAATGGATTTGAGACCATATATTTTTAGTGTATGTATTTAATACCTCATTTACATAGATTTATTCATGAGAACATTTGAACAGGGCTTTCAAGACACTATTTTGATCTTTAATAAATTAACCATTTTCTTCCAGCAATAACTTTATTTAAAGTATATGCTTTTTAAATATTTAACTCAAACTTAGACCCTATTATCCCACTGACTGCTGGCAAGGCAGTTCCAATCTCAAGTCAATTCTAACTCACGGCCCTCCTCCACTGTATTTCTGAGGTTGTAAATCTTTATAGGAGGAAACTGCTTAGCTTTCCCATCAGTGGGTGGATTCAAATTTCTGACCATTTGGTTTGCAACACAATACATTTCACATCAGGGCTTGTTAACACACATGATACATGCCACCAGGTCCCAATAGATCCTATTATAGTATCACCAAATTGTATTGACTGTATCCAAGTGTTTGTAGCACACTGGGTATTGCATGACATTTTGTTTTGTTTGAGTTCTTTGTTTCTTTTCTCTTGAGATATTTTGTAAAAATCTCATTCATATAAAGTGCTGATTCTTTGTTTCAATTCATTTTACCTTTTGGAAGAAAAGAAAATGTGAATACTTTTCCAACTGCTAGTTTAATCACACCTGAAAAGAAATAGAAAACTCTCTGATAAAAGGTGCTAGACAAGTGCAAATTATCATAATAAATTAAGATGAGTAATTGCAAATAGGACAATTTTTCCTGCTAGAAAAAGAGAATTGGTTTTTTCCCAGGAAGCTAAGTATTACATCATTATATTGATGTAATTTTACATTTTATGCAATAAATGCCATTTCATAAGCAGTTATAAATATAATGATTTAGGGAGCCCAGGAATGTTTTGTCTTTAGATATTTACCTTGTAAATTGCAGAAATTGAACATTCTTAATTATTTCATTTAATGTGTTCTGCAAAGCCATATATTTTAATTGCTCTTTATCTTATATACTAATTCTGTAAGGTTTTGCATTTTTACTGATCAAATCATATCTATTTATATACAGGGAGCTCTGGTGGCCTAGTAGGTAAGCAGTTGCCAGAGATAGGCAGTTCAAATCCACCAGTTGCTCCCCAGGAAGAAAGACGGGCACTGTCCTCTTGTGAGTTGTACAGCTTTGAAAACATGGTGGAGGGTAAGCTCTGAGTCAGTTCTGATTCAATGGCAATGAATTAAATCTTTTAAAATTTATGTATATACACATATACACACACACACATATATATATATATATATGCATAAATGTGTGAAAAAAGGTGACTTTTTTATAGATTCAATTGGTTGGAACATAAACAATCTTTATCAAGCATAATTTAGCAAGATTTACCAACACATTTAAGGAAATTATAAATGTTTTGACAGTAATCATACTATTAGAAGTCATTCCTAAGGACTGACTATAAATGGAATTCTAGCAAAAGATTAGAATTAAGAAAAGTTGGAAATGATGTTCAACAAAAAGAAATGGTTAAATACATTATAGCACATTCATTGAACAGGATGCTAAACGTTATTAAAATAATGTTTTCAGTGTGTTTAGAGACATGAGGAAAAGATTATTGGTAAGTGATCACAATATTCAACTATATGCAGTATAACCATATTTGTATAAAATAATGTATACAAATATGTATGAAATATGAAAAAGTTAGAAATAGCTTCATTTAGAGGGTAAAAAGTACAGTTCAAAAATTTAAGACAAAACACAAGCCTGATAATACCTGATATGGATCTTTGTTGACATAGTGCATAGCATATTGAGCTGCTAACTAAAAGGTCTGTGGTTCAATCCTCCAGCTGCTCCAAGGGGGTGGGGGTAGGATATTTTTCTTCCATCAAGGTTTACAGCTTCAGAAACCCACTGGAGGGTGAATATATGTTGGAATCTAGTGGGGTAGTGACTGGGTATATCTGATGGATTAATTTATGATTCTGAATCATTTTTCTTTTTTCCTTTTTGTTTCTTTCCCTTTCTCCCACCTTAAGTCTACCCTTGGATATGTTGCTCTCCTCATAAGTACCTTCCATGTTTTAATTTATGGATGGAAACAAGCATTTGAAGAAGAGTACTATAGGTTTTACACACCACCAAACTTTGTCCTTGCTCTTGTTTTGCCTTCAATTGTAATTCTGGGTAAGATTATTTTACTACTTCCATGTGTAAGCCGAAAGCTAAAAAGAATTAAGAAAGGCTGGGAAAAGAGCCAATTTCTAGAAGAAGGTGTTGGAGGAGCAATTCCTCATCTCTCACCCGAAAGGGTTACAGTAATGTGATGATAAAGGTGCTCTCTGATGCCATATTAAAGCTCTACTTATGCCGTTATTTTTATTATTCCCCTGGCTTCAGGGTGTTGTGTAAATGTGTCAAATTTGCTAAGGGTTGAAAATTGTTCAGTGAGATCTCAACAAAATTAATAGTAGAAATTTTTTTCACAAATGTCATATTGAATCAGTATGGATTTTTTTGAATCAAACATATTCTTGAAAATTAAGTACATTTTGTTTGGTATGGCACAACTGTAACACTATTATTTTTTGGGGGGGGGAACAACCTTATGTTTCAGAGCCAACCCAAAATATTCAGTTAAGAATAAAGATAAGTGTCATAATGTTAAACATACTTTGCAAACCAGCAGAATTTTAAGCTTTTCATATATTTCAATGGAGTATATGTCATTTTTCTGAAACTTAAGTAAAGTTTTAATTATTATAGAACTTAAGAACTAGAAACAAATAATTTTTTTAAAAAGATACATTACATTAGCATCTAGTTAAGGGTACATGGTAATAACATTTCTAACTGATAAAACAGGATTTGGAGCCTGGAATTAATTGCGTGAATCAATGTGATTATGTGAATATACACAAATTAAAAAGACAGCTTAACTCTGAACTTATATTTAAAATGCATTGGAAACATGAAATACATACGAATAATGCATACCTCATGAAAGAATTTATTCTTCATTTTGTTATAGAGCAGGTCCATTTTCATAATAATAAGTTGATCAGTGTGGTTCCATGATATTATTCTGCCTTCAAAACTGTTTCTGACATAGTACGAAGCCTGGTTATTGTATAATTGTTCGTAGTTAGAGGGAAAGTGTCAGATTTGGACACAAATCATTATTAACCAATCCATGTTGTTGTACTATCGTCAGTTGTTATGGTTGGGATTTGATTGAACTACTTTGAGGATTTATAGTGTCCCAAGCACTGTTTTAAGCACTTTACTTATATTGCCCCATTTAATACTGATAACAACTCGATGAGGTAGACAGTTCATATCCTTATTTTATATATGAAGATATTGAGGGCTAGAAAAGCTCCCGCTTTTGTCCAAGGTCACACGATTAGCAAGTGGCAAGGTCAGCATATAAGCCCAGAGACTCAGCTTTTAAACCTGTCCCTGCTCCATCCCATGCAGTACACTCAGTATCTATCTAGGTGCCTTCCTCTTTTGTATAAAGTAATTGACTTTTTTTTGAATGAAAATATTATAGGCATAAATGTATAATTGCTTGTGGAGTAATTGATTTACTTACCTGGTCTTACCAAGAGACCTGTATCAGTGTGATACCTCCCTTCCAGCGAGTGTTGATGGTCCCAAGCAGAGAGAGGACCACGACAATGATAGGGAGTTGCTGAGACCCCAGAGAATCATAAAGACCCCCTGTAGGGTTGCTTCTTTCCTTTTGTTTTCTCAAGAAGTCCTCCTGCCTGCTCAGCCATTCATTAGGGAGCATTTTGCAAGCATGAAGGATATTAGGATAAGTGGTTAATTATAAATGTACTCTAGAAACATATAACCATATCAATTATTAATAAATTTTTGCAGTGCTAGCATTTCACATTAAATTACCGTTTTTCCAAACCTTAGCTAGAATGCTTTATATCCCCCCCATTGGTTCTTATTAAAATAGAAAGTTGCACAAGATACAATTGTATGTGTTCCTCTTCCTGAATTTACATTTTTAAATTTACTCAGTGAAGCGCTGCTGAATGCTGCTACCACAAAATTAGAAGGAATTGATTTAGAGGAGGCTACCTTTCCCTTCAGTGGTTCTTTCTCTGTTTCTACACTGTAAACTATTCATCATGCTGGTTTGTTTTCAAGAAAATTACCACTTGTTCTTAGTGGGAATTCAGTTTGGTAACTTTCAAGGCTAACACCTATGTTGTTGTTGTTGTTAAATACCAACCATCAAGTTAGAATGGACTCATAGCTGACACCCCCTCTCAGAGGATTTTCAAAGGTTGTAAATTGCACTAGAGGAGATTGGCCATCTTTCTCCCATGGAGCAGATGGTGGATTTGGACCACATCCCTTTGGATTGGCGACACAACTTTTACCACTAAGGCAACTATAGACATAACTGTTTTAGTGAATAGTGAAAAGAGTATATTCTCAATGCCTTTCGTCCCTTAAACTTCATTTTCTGAAGCCATGTTTTAACCATTTAATGTGAAAAATATAATGAAATTAGTTTTAAAATCAGACAACTTTTTATTTGAGTGAAAGTTTACAGATCATACTGTGTTTTTTATTCAATCATTCAGACATTTTGTTTACATAATAACTATTAATGTAAAAATTAGATAAATTTTTACAGCCTATTGTTGCATGTATCTGTTAAGTAACCAAATTATAGATTAGGGAGTCACTATAGCAGATAAATACAGCATTTGAAATATGAAAACCTGAACTTTAATAAAATATATACAAGATGGAACTATTTCAAATAGTAATATCTTTTCAGAACTAAATAATTTGGACATTTTAACATAGATATATTCATTATAATCCTAAATACTAAAAAAAATTAGAAAAATAAATTATCCTTTGTTTTACTTTACTTTCCTACTTATCTGATTTTTTTTTAAAATTATTGTTTCTCACAATTCTTTTTTCCGGGTCTTTTACTGGCCTCAGAGTTCTGTCATTGCTATGTATGAGGGAATGGTGGGAACTTGTGGATAACAGGCATTTGTTTCATGACCTGTGTTTGGAGACTTGGCCCTTAAGCAAATGATAAGATTGTACAAAAGATACTAAGTCTTAATTCTATGCAAATAATCAAGTAACTTTTCCTAAGAGGAAAAGAAATATGGACTGTATTGTGCTTTTTAGCTTTCATGTGAAATTTTTACTTCTCCTATTTTGAGAACATTTGAAGTCATACTTAAATACAATATAAATACTGTATATTAGTGCTATCATATATTTTTTCACTACATGCATAGAAAGTTAACCCAGATTATCTACATGTGAGATTTTTTAATTTAAATGTTAAAATATTTTAAAGTCTGAATAAATTATATTTATAGGTATTTATTGAAGATAATTATTTCGTGCTGTGCAGTGATTGGCTGTTGAGTACCAGTGTTAAAGTTACCTGATTAATGTCTTAGAAATTAACATGACCTTGACATAAGGAGTTTTATTTTCCAAATTATTTTAATAGTTCTAATTTATGGTGTTACTACTTTACAGTCAAGTTCCGAAAGTTATTTGTATACAAAAGGGCTTCAAGCATATAACATATCCAGGTTTTTATTTAAATCTTATATAATAGAAAACTTTATTTTTCATTGCCTTTTACCATTAAACTATTTCATAATAAATATACAGAGAAGGACCCCTAAAGAAGAAGTTTAATGTCAAGATTTAGAGTTTCTTATCTGCTATTTTAACCTAAGTATTATAAATGTCATTACTTACTACTTCACACACTAGGAATGCTGTAAACAATGAACTAATTATATTTATGTCAGTCTGTAAAATAAAGAAATAGCATAAAATATCATGCTGAAATGAGTTTAGAAAACCTTGTCTTAGAGCAGTGCTAGACATAGTATAAAACACCTTAATCAGTGTTAAGATACAGTGATGTGTTGTCATGAAATTGTGATGCTCTATTTTCACTTGATCATAAGTCTGTAAAAAAAATTCCAGTGTATGTTCAGTATGTAATTAGCTCTCAGTGAAACTAATATTTTTAGTGGGAACATCTGTTCATACTTTTAAAGAGTGAATTTTACAAGAGTTAACAGATTCCATTTTTTAAAATCTTAAAATAAAAAGTATCCATGTGCTTAATATGCAGAGATTCTGTCTGTGTGATAACAACAACAAAAAAATTCAGTTCAGCCTAATACATACTGAGTTCTTTGGGTTTTTAAAGATTTTCTAAATTGCTGAGTTTCCATTGTAGTTATCTGAAATAAGACAGATGATATGTATTCTTCCAGTGCTTCGATGAGCTAAATTAAATCAAAAAAGCAGATTTTTAAAAGTACTCCAAAATTGCCAATTTCAAGGTAGTTGTGTTTTGTTGTTGGTTTGTTTAACATTTTTAAGATTTTCTTTAAAGCCATTTACAGATCCTCAAATTGAACAGGGACTGGCCACCGTCTCCCAATGTCTGTTTGCTCTACTTGTTTAAAAATCTTGCTGTCCTTACATTCCTTAACAACCCTTGCAGTTAAGTGTACCCACGTCACCACATGGCTAGGCGGTGAATTAAAAGGGGAAGGCAGTGTCTGGAGTTTTTATCTGTGATACAAATAGTTAATAGGCTTGGCTGCATATCAAGAGTTTGATGGGTTGAGTCAACTCACATGTGCCAAGAAAGAAATGACTGGTGATGTAAAAAAATCAGCCATTGAAAACCCTCTGTAGTAACACGGTTCTACTCTGCCACACGATATGAGTCAGAACTGATTCCATGGCAACTGGTATATGTGACTATCTGGAAGTTTCCTTAAAGGAAACACGTTCTTTATTGTCTTCCTCCTGTTGTGGGGAATGTGGACAAGATGACATCTGGGGAAGATCAAAGCTACGGCGTCAAGGAGACAGGTTGGAGACCAGGAAGGCTGACTCCTGGAAGGAAGAGGAAATGAACATTTGGAACCACTGTTAATTTTATGGGGTGGGTTTTGTTAAATTAACCCAAAGCTAAAGTCTCTTCTGTCTTTCAGCTCTTTGTCATGACACCGTTTAACACTGTTTTAATAAATTAGACTGCAATAATTCTTACCTTTAAAAACTTTTAAAGGATAACATGCAATTCACATTAGAATTGATTTTTCATTGGTAATATATTTTACTCATTTTTTGGTTAATCTTTCAGTAGATATTTTTTTACCTGCTTGGAAAATACTGTTTTCTTTATAACTATGTAATTGATATTTGCTAAAACTAATATCCAGAATATATCCATCAAATAACATGCCATGTTTTTATATCATCCTCATAGATCTGCCTTATA